GCGCACGCGCGCTCGCATGTGCACATACAGCGCTCACATGTGTGTGCGCACATCTGCTTGCCTGAGGAGACAAACGAGTGAAACGTTCGTCGGCCCCCCGCGCCCCCACCCCCATAATGCATCAAAACAGCGCAGGGACTACAAAATACCCCAGCCCCCGGGCACACGGACCTCCCCCCAGCCGCCCCTGACCTCCAGCCAGGCTGCACACATACATATCTTTGCATGCATATCTGTGTACGTGAATATCTGTGCATACACACAGAAGCCGGCTGGTCAGCCAGGTCAGCGAATAGTTGGCTCACCTCCAGCCAGGCTGTAGACCGCCTCATCAAATTCCATCACCTGCCCCTCCCCCAGCGGCCCCGCCGGCGCCGCGCCGCCGGCCGGGACAGGGTGAACCACCACACGCGTTGAAGCGTTTGCCCTTTCGTTGACAACAATGTATTTGAGGGACGCGCCGACGCCCTCGATTTTGACGTCTGAGCGGTGGGGCACGACGACCTGACGGCGGCGATGATGATTGGTGGGGGCAGGGGGGCTTTCGGCTTCGGTCGTGTCGTTTGGCTCAAGGCTGTTGGAGATTGTGTGGGTGTGTTCGTGTGTGTGTGTGTGTGCGCGCGCGCGTGCGCGCGTGTGTGCGCGTGTTAGTTTTCGAGTATGTGGTCAATGTGCGGGCATGCAGATGCGTGTGCGTGTGTGTGTGTATATTGTAACGGGGGTTGTGGGTGCTTGTGTATACACATGTGTTGTGAGTGTGCGCACGTGTGTGTGCTCCGGCTCCCTCACCGTCTGATCCTGGGGGTTGCTGACCGGCGCCACCCGGACCTCAGAGTTTGGGTGCTCCTTGTCGCGCAGCGAGATGAGGAACCTGTCACGAGACCGGGGAGGGAGGGGGGGTGGTTGCGGCGAGGGGGGGCAGCGGTGCGCGCGACTTGTCGGCGGCGGGGGGTGATCGGAGCGGCGCTGTGAGGGCGCGCGGGCCGGACAGCGCGGGGGAGGGGGGACTAGGGCCCGGCGCTGGCGACTGCAGCGGATGGTCTAAAAGCGCGGCGGCTGCGGGCGCCGCCGGTTTACGAGGAGAGCCGCGCGGCACGCGCAGGAGAGTGGGGTGGGCCGGCAAGGCTGCGAGTCAAGCGTGTCACCCCGCAAACCATGCCCGCGGCCACCCACCAGCCCTTGCCCTCGCCCTTCGGCCCTGGATGGTGGCTCAGAGAGTACTCCACGTCCTGAGGCGTGGCGGTTGGTTGGTCGGTTGGTCGGTTGGGTTCGGTTGGGCAGTTGGCTCATGGCCAGGGTGGCCCGCTAGGGAGCAAGGGCGGCTGGTTGCTCCAAGAGGTCGCGGCCCGGGCAATCAGTCCTGTCGCGCCCAAGGCGTGACGCTGGAAGGCTGCGCGGCAATGCCTGTGTCGCCTTCAAGGTCCAGCTCGTTCAAAGCGGGCGCTGGAAGCTGGACGGCCGTGGAAACATCCGCCCGGCGCACTCCATATGGGGATGGCCCGCCCGAAGGTTGGAGCCCCGGGCTCAAATGGGGCCCTGAGGCTGGGCTTGCCCCCTCACCGGCACTCTGGGCAGCGCAGGCTTGAACTCCCCAGTGGGGTCGTCGGCCGAGAGAAAGCGCGTTTCACTGGTGACGGCGGAGCCTGGAGACAAGGGCCGGGAGGAGCAGAGCAGAGCACGAGGGGTAAGGTGAGGTGCAAAAGGTGAGGGCTGCAAGCGTCGGACGGGCGTGCCGCCGCGTCGGGGGATGGGTACAAGCTAGATTGGTTGCGGAAGGGTGGGGGTTGTGTCCTACAACCTAGAGTGGTCGCAGCATGATGGGGGTTACATCCAGCGCTTTCGTGTGGAGGGCCCCCTTCTCCCGTCCCTGAAATCGCGCCACATGACCAGCGACGCGGTTGCCCAACCCAGCCGCCCCCGACCATCACCCCCTTGACCTGAGCCAAAGTCCCCCCCCGCCCCGCCCTGCCTCGTGAGATTGAAGCCCATCAGAGCAGATTATGGAGCACGCAATCCCCCCCCCCCCGGGCCCGCCCGCGTGCTCAACAAGCATTTGTCATGCACACCCGAACGGCCCCCAGCCCAGGCCACAGCATGACGTCATCACTCGACACACCCGCGTGAATGTACAGAATCTCGTCACTGGAGTCGCGGCCAATGCCGACGTAAAAGGCCTCGTCAGCCTCTTCATACACCGCCACGTCATCAGAGTGCGGGGTGCCGATCCTGTGGGCGGGGCGGGTAGATCGACACACAGGGGGTTGGAGGGAGGGGCGCAGCGTGGATCGGGGTCGAGCGTGACGCCCGACACGAACTGCGCGTGTGCACGAACCACAGACACACACACACACACACACGCACGCGCACACACACATACACACACACACACACGCACACGCACACACACGCACACGCACACGCACACGCACACACACATGCACTCGCATGCACTGTCCCAACGAAAGCCAAGGACGACAGTCCTTCCAAGTGCCTATGTGCGCGCACACACACACACACACACACACACACACACACACACACACACACACACACATCCACACAGCCCGCACTCACTCTCACACACACAGGTTACAACACTCACATACCCCGCCACGCGTCCTGACTAATCGCGTCCCCCAGCTCGCGTCATCACCTGTGCCTCATGACCTTGTAGGGGCGATCCAGGTGGTCCTTGAGGGTGTAGAACTGATGAGTCATGGCGGGAGGAGGGCGGGTGAAAAATGCAGCATATAGGGCATTGCCGGGGGCCAACGCTGCAACCCTGCATCCCTGGTGCTGCAGGGCAGGACTAAATCACCAGAAGAAGAAGAACGAGCATTGTGTGATGCCCGGCCGACTGCAGGTCTTTAAGCAGCCGGCATTGCGCCCACGGCGTCAAGGTGGCGGTGCACACCAGGGTGGCGTTGTCGTTGGCCCAGACCACGTCGCCGCTCGTGTTTGGGATCGGGCCGCTGAGTCGCGCACTCGTGGCGATGTCCTGGGGGGCGAGCAGGGTGGCGGCGGGAAATGACAGGCAGCCACGGTGCTGGTGCTGAGGAGTATTTGGGGCGTGCATGGCTTGGCGTGAGGACGATTCCAGGGGTTGGCTGGGCGGTCTGCCCGAGCACGGTTCAACAACCAAGGCTGTTGCTCACAAATGTGGAGCACTCCACAGCCGTGGTGTCCAATCCGAACTTTGGAGACACTCAGCCAGCCGGACAAAGCTGCAACTTCCAAAGTACACGCCCTCGAACCAATACCATCGGCAGCCACCCCACTCGCTCCCTGGCCGCTCCCCCTTGCTCCCCAGCCCCTCCCGTTGCTTCCCAGCTCCCAAATAATCCGGACGGGCGCCCCGCGCCCACCCCACCACTTCCTGAGTGCACTTTCATCCACAAAGAGCCCCCGCCTGTCCCCGGCGCCCCATGGGCCGCACCTTGACGTGCAGGTTGTACCGCTCTCCCCCCACCACGTCCTCCGCCCAGGCCAGCAGCTTCTGGTCCGGCGACTCATCGACAGACGACACCTGTCGACGGGCGCAGGGGAGGCCGGTTCACGATGGACGAGGAAATCGTGTCTAGAGGGGGGAACCGAGGCACATGGGCAAGCAGGCCGTGTCGGTCTGCCGGCACGCATGCGTGCCGCGAGGCGACGGCCAAGTCCGGTTCCGGGAACCACACAAGAATTGGAGGTTGCGATATGCATAGAGTGCCGATGCACCATGCGCGCACGCACGTGAACGCGTGCACTCACGCGTGCGCGCGTGCAGATGCACAAACCGTACGCCCACACCACACTGACCGACGGACACAAACCAAACGTCAACACACACGCATCCGCAGAACACCCATGCACACCAGCGCCTTCACTAGCGCCACCGCACCATGTAAAACTCGTGCTTGCCCTGCTCCTTCCGCGCGTTCTCATCCAGCAGAACCTCCTCCACCGCCCCCTCCGCGGGGGCGTCCGCCTCGCTCGGCGGCGCCGCGTCCGCCGGCACGGCCTTGCGGCAGTGCACCTTGTACTGCTGGCCCTCGCCTGCAACCCCCGACCGGAGGTTTTGAGGTTGTGTGAGGGCGGGGCAGCGCGTTGTTGTGGTCTGGGTAGGGTGAGGCACCTGGCCAGGGGTGCTTCAAAGAGCAGGCCGGCTTTGTGAGGCGTTGGGTTTGGGAGAGCCGGCAAACGGGCGCTTGGCCGAGAATGCAGGTGCAGGCGCAGCTGGCACGTCCTGGGGTCAAGCATGCATCGCGCGTCGACGCGCGCGGCGTGTACGTGGCTGCAGCAGCCGCACGGCGCCGGCCGGGACGGCGCGGCATTCGAGGCTCGCCACCAATCTGCACCTGTTCGGCTGTAGTACCAGTAGCCCTTGTACCTGGGGGGGGTGATTTTTGTTCATATACAAACATGTGTGCAGCGGAAGCCCATGGGTCACGGCAGGCAGGCGGCTACAGCTTGCTTGCTTGCGTGCCTGGCCTGGCTGCTTAGCTCAGCCTGCGCCCTGTCGGAAGGCGGGCAGGCACCGGCCTGCCGCGTGCCGCATCGGCCCCAGGCCAAGAAGAAGGCAGCAACGCCTGTCCCCCACCCACCTGGTCGGCACGCTGGAGTCCTCCTCCTGGATGCGGCCGCGCATCTCCTTGTACAGGGCGTCCTGCGGTGACCACCCAGGTCGAGCCAAGGAGAGGTAGGGACAGGGGTACTCCACGATCGATCAGCACACGCCAGCGCCAAGGGCGGACAGCGCTTCACCCTTCGCCGCCACGCCTGCGCCAACGAGCCAAGGTCCCCCACGCGCTTCCCTCCCGACGCAACCAACCCGACCAGCCGCTCCGAGCCCTCTTGAGCCCGGTCTGCACCCTCAAGCCGGCACCCCCAGAGCCTTGGGAACCTCCAAAGCCCATATCCTATCCAATCAAATCTTCGTTGATTTTGATTATCATCAGCTTTCCCACACCTGCAGGTCCTTCGTGTCTGCCAGCACCGCCTCAGTGTAGGAATTCTCCTCCTTCAGGTAAGCCAGCACGTCCTTGTCCTTGCGCGCGTCGTCGCGCAGCCTGCGGGGACCAGCAGGGGCGATGGCACGCGGCCACCGCGATTGCAGCCATCACTGAGAGCGATGCGCGTCTGGCAATTATGGGTGCCAAAGCTCAGCTAATGCATTCGACACCCCCACCCCACACACACACACTTACTCTTGAATTGAAACCACACAAACACACACACACACACACACACATACACACACACAGACATATGTAACCACATTTATGCACGCACACACACACGCACACACGCACATGCATGCACATACACGTGGCACATGACCAACCCGCGAGCACCCACCAGTAATACTCGTCGCTGCGCACGTCATCATGTAGGTTCAGGTCGAGGGGCCGCCTGGGGGCCACCGGCGGCTGCAGGACCTGTCGCGCATGGAGGCAACATACAGCTGAGGCCAGCGTGGATCCAACATGCACCCGTCTAAGATGATGTGTTTCGTACGCGGGGCGGGCGGCGAGCAGCTGCGGGGCCATCTGACGCCCTGGCCGGGCCACCTGCTGCCGCCCGCCGCCGACGGAACGCTCCCGGTGCCACGCTCGCCACAGCCATGCCATGCCCCGCGCTCGCGCGCGGCCGCCTCGACGCCTGCAGGCCTCTGCCGCCCTCGGGCTGCCGGCTGGTCCACACTTGTGAGCCTCCTGCTGGCGGTTTCGTTGAGCAGCAACCACGGCAGCTGCCCCGGCTGGGACTGCGTCGCCCCTCCTCACCCCGACTGACCCCGTTGCCACGCGCCGCACCTGCAGCCGGGCCTCCTCCAACTCGCCGCCCTCGCCCGCCAGCCGCGCCGCCGCCGCGGCCAGCAGCCGCCGCTTGGCGTCGTCGCCAATGCCGGGGCGCGGCCACGAGCGGAACAGGTGGGAGTGGCCGTGGCTCACGAGGGCGCGGACCAAGCAGCGCTCCTGGGGGGACGGGCGGCCGCAAGGGATGGGGTTGGGTGCGGGAGCGGGTGCTGATGGTCGTGCAGAAGGTGAATTGGACGCCGTCGCGGCTTGTGTGTGTATGTGTATAGAGGAGGGAATAGGGGCGGGACCGGCGGGGCGACGTCATGGCCACCTGCCAGCATATGGCCGGCGTCGGGGCGGCGAGCGACGAGGTGGAATCGACTGCGTATTCCGTGTGTTGCGGCTCGCGTAAGATTGGCAGTGTGGTGTGGGCGGGCGTGAGTGCGGCCGTACCTTGTGGGTCATCCACGAGTAGTTGCCGTTCAAGAGGCCGCGCACGCCGCTTGCCTGGCGGCGGCCAACGAAGGCTGCCGCTGCCGCAGCACCCGCCGCGGCGCCCGCTGCGGCGGCGACAATGACTGCGGACCTGCCCATAATCGATCGGCGATACACGGGCGGTGTGGCCAGCAAAGCTGGTAAAGATGCGCGCGCAGGTATCCCAGGTAAGATCGCGCCTGAGATCGGTCCTGGCAAGCTGAATCGATATCAACGGTGTAGCAGTATATAAACTGATGAATTCGTGATGATTTTGAAGGTTCTTAAGGGTGCATGAAGACGAAAAATTGCGTGTGCACCAGTAGCCACTCACCCTTGCAGGAACCAGCTGTTCTTTGAAGGCACCATACGCTCGATTAAGCCGCTCTGAATACGTTGTCTGATTTGTGATGGGCTTCGTCACGTTCTAGGTCGCCTCGTTTGGCAATATCTCAAAATCTGGGGTGTGTTCAGCGCGCCAGCCCTGCAGGCAGCAGCCCAGCAACCTATAAGGTGCAGCTGTACTGCCACAATGCACCAGCGCGCGGCCTGCCCAGCAGGGCTGCAGAGACGCGCAGCGCTTCGAGTGACCCCGTCGGGATGCCCGTGCGCCTTGCTGCAGCAGACCCATTGGGGGCCCGTGCAGCGGCAAAATAACTCACAAGTGCAGGTGCTCGCTGCGGCCGAGCCGCAGCAACGCCTGCAACGCGCGGCGCTGCTGCTGCGCCGCGCCGCAGCCAGTGGTGGCGGCGGGCCCAGCCCCACAAGCAGTGTTGACTTTGCGGCGGGCCCTGCGCCCAGCGGCAGCAGTAGGGCCGGCAGCAGTGGCGGCAGCGGCGGCAATGGTAGGGGCGCGGGGCCCTCCGTCTCTGCTGCGGCTGCGAGCGCTGCGGTGGCCCCGACGGCCGCAGCGCCCGAAGCGGCCAGCACCAGCGGCGGAGGGGCCGCGGGCGACCAGCAGCAGCAGCAGCAGCAGCAGCAGCAGCAGCAGCAGCAGCAGCAGCAGCAACAGCGCTCGTCCCACGGCGGCCGCGACGCGTCCCTGCTCTCCATCGAGGAGCAGGAGCGCGAGCTGCAGCTCGTGACCACCGACCTGCCGCGCACCGAGTCGCGCCTCGAGACGCTCGCGCTGTGGGTCGGCGCCGCCGTCGCGTTCGGCGGCGGCGTCTGGTACGTCCAGGGGGCTGAGAAGGCGCAGGAGTTCTTCGCCGGTTACCTGCTGGAGCAATCCCTATCCGTGGACAACCTGTTTGTGTTTGTCCTCGTGTTCAATTACTTCAAGACCCCGGTGGTGCACCAGCCTAAGGTCCTCTCCTACGGCATCGCCACCGCCGCCGTGCTGCGGCTCGTGATGATCATGCTGGGCACAGAGCTGGTGCAGCGGTTCGAGCCCGTGCTGCTCGTGTTTGCGCTGGTGCTGCTGTGGAGCGCGTACGGGCTGCTCGTCAGCGAGGAGGAGGATGACGAGGACCTGAGCAACAACAACGTGAGTGGCGGCGGGGCGCAGCGGCGGGGGGCGCCTGCTGTCTAGTGTTTCGGGGCCTAGGGTGGCTTGAATGACGCTGGCGGGAAAAATAAGCCTTGTTTGGCATTTACGGAGCAGGCTTGCGGGGGAGGGTGCGTGAGGGCTGCCTGCTGTGTGTGCATCACTGCGAGGCGTCACCCGTCCGGGCGCAGCAGTCAAGGTGGCTGTGTGGCGCAGCACTTGCGCAAGCCGCAAGGCGGCTTGCCGTCTGTGCAGCGCAGCGCCACGGGCTCCCAACCATTCTCTGGTGACGTCACACCCCGGCCCCGCGTATGCATGCCGCTGGGTGCTTGGTCAGCAGGCCGCGAGTCTCTTAAGGTCACCCACCCGGCCCCCCTCCCCTCCACGCGCACCGAGCCCTCAGCCCGCCGTCCGCCCAAACACTCACCGGCCCGCTCGCGCCCGCTCCCCTGCCTCGACGCGCCCCCGCTGCCCCGCCCCCAGATCATCAAGTTCTGCAGGAAGCTGCTGCCCGTCACCGATTACTACGACGGCGACAAGTTCTTCACCACCGTCGGCCCCGACGGCGCGGCGGCCGGCGTGGCCCCTGGCGGCGCCGCGG